TTGTTAAAAGTGTTTATTTTTTATATAACCATGTTTTCATGCATTTTGGTTATATAAAAATTGCCTTAGAAAAAAAAAAAGAGTTGTTTGTTGTAATATTTGAATAGTTGTTGTGTATAAACAAGCCATTTGGACTTTTGTGTTGTGTTTGGTTGATATTTATTTATTCATAAGTTGTAATAGATAAATAAGTATTTTTTTTATTTGTTGACTTATTGTAATAAACACCACTACAAAAAGCGTTAAAAGACCCGGTTAAATAGCTTAAAGAAGCCGGTTTTGTAATCGGGTTTGATGCTGGCGAGTCCTATGTGGAATCCATAATAGAACCCGATTCTAAACCGGGTTTTTTTTTTATTACAAATAGAGTTCGGTTTGCATTTATATAACCGGGTCATATAACACTTTCCGTCCCAACTGACTATGAATATTAGAACCGGTTCCCTTCAATATAACCGGGGCATATGAAAACAAAATATATACCGGTTCATACAAACAACTGGGCCGTAATAGACTTTTACCCATTTTTCCACAATAGGCTTAGAACCTCGTTTCTAGATAAGCAACCGGTTCCTTTTAACACTCTTATATTTTTTTTAATATCATTTTATAAAAATAACAGTACAATAGTTATAGACTATGAATTTATAACACAGATTATACAGATAAACAATGGTTTTTATGTGGAAATGTTAAATAAACCATAATAGTCATTGATAAAAATATAATCAAACAAAGACAATTGTCTAAGTAGCAAAAGAAATCATGGATTTGGTAATTTCATACATCATACGACTTGCATGAAAACTTACAAAAAAAAACATTTGTCTTGACTTGGCATAGGGATTGTCCAAAAAATCAATTGTAATGGCTCTTTCTTCTAACCTCCCTGAAAAACAAACAAATGAAAGTAAAAAGGTAAGAACTCCAACAAAAGATAAGTAAACCAAAGTTAGGAAGTTTTAGAATTCAATAACTAACCATATATGCTCTTTTTAGAAGAGCACATCATTCATATAGTTATTCAAAAACTCTGTAGACCAGGTAGCAACACCTTTTTCTCAAAGGAACTTTTGTCATCCCAAATGCTACCGGACTATATTAAATGTAAAATTAAACATATTCATTAACAAACCAAATATTTTTTTGCAATAAACAAAATGAACAAATATAAAAAAGGTAAAAAGGTCCTTACTAGGAAATCCATGTTGTCTTGTCGTCAAGAAATCAAACATCCATCGCATTACATAATGCCCGCTCTCTAAACCACCAAGTTGTTGGTTGCACTAAAAATTGTAGCAAAAATTAAACATTAATCAAACAAATGAAACTACAACAATTATTTGTTTTGGTATTTAACAAGATGAATTACCTCAACAAAAATCCATCCAATTGGAGTTGAAGTCTCTTTTTCATACCTCATGAAAGCCCTTAAAAGAAATAAACAAGTGTTGTGTTCAAAATAATAAAAAGATTTATATCTTGCAATGATGTTTGTAAGTAATTTCTTACATGTCCACATGTTTTTTGAGCAGGTAATGGTAGTCGGCAGACTTTTCTATACGATCCTTAAGAGAATCCAAAATATAGACAATGCGATTGCGAAGGGAAATCACCAAGAGCACCCAATGCTTACTAGAAATGTTTAAACATTTAGTATAAATAATAAGAAAACAAACAAAATAATAATAATAAAGATAAGAAATTATTGTACTTTTGCAAATATGGTGCAATGAGAAACAATTTTCCGTGGTACAGCCGAATGGAATCAACAAGATAACTAACGACACCCTCTGGGTTTTTCTGGCATGCCTCCCCTAGAATATTATAAGGGTTCAAGAAAGCACATTTGTTCATACGTGTCCGAACCATTGAATTAAGAATCCTACAAACAAGAAAACAAAAAATGTTATGGTCAACTAATAATAGTAATTTTTATGGACTTACAGTTGCCAAGCAGTTATGATGGAAGCATCAGTTGTTTGTTTTCTCAGCAGTCAAAAATATTCTTCACATGTAACCGAAAAATCATATGTCCCGACTTCCAAAATCCCAGAATCGGCTACAATGTTAACGACTTGGTTGGTCTTCAAGCAATCACGAAGATATTCAATCGGCCTCGCCTTGCTGGAATTGTTGGCACCAAAATTGTGGTTGGAATTTGTTTCTTCGCTCTTTGTTCCTACATTTTATTTCATTTGAATATCACATACAATTATAATTTGTTGTTTATATAGTAGCTTAAAAAAGTAAAGGATAATGCATATGTACCTTTGCAAGAATAATTGCAATACGGGGCCATTGAATTACAGTGCCAACCGCCCCTTGTAGGTTAGCAACTTCTTTCGTCATCACAGGAAGAGGAAAATTTTCATATCTACTATCGATGTCGTCTATCATAACCTTCAGGTGATTTTCTCGTAAAGGCAATGTGTGTAATAACCCATTCCCATATGGAAAGACCAATCCCTTGGCACATTTTTGGTCCAACTCCCCATAAGTTAACACCAATTCACAAGGGGTAGGCATCTGTACACATATAGTAAAACAAAAATAAAAATAAAAGATCTTTGAAGGATAATAAACAAAAAAATGCATAATAATGTAATAAGTATATTTGAATTTTTCACCATTCTAAGTATATCTATTATAGTTCAAACCCTTCTAAGAAAACATTTTAATTAAAAAACTAGAGTCTTTTGTCTCAATTATGCAACCAAAATGATGATATTAAGGTAAACTCAAACACAATTCTTACAATTTTTTCATTTTCTAACACAAATATTGTAATAAAACTAGTATTTGAGCCTGCGCTTTGCCGCTGGTTACTACGTGTGTTTTTCATACGAATATCATAGCTTAAAAAACACTAGAAATTTTAAAAGAAATAAGCATTGAGTGAATTCTAAAAAGTTGAGAAGAGTTAAGAGACTATTTTTTTAAGTTGGATGGTTTTTAAATAATCAATAAAAATGTAACTTTTAATAGATAATAGTACAATGCCCAATATAAGTAAAGTTGAGAAGAATTTTAGGGATTATTTTTGTAAGTTGGATGTTTTTCAAGTCATCTACAGTAGGTGGTGGACAACAAGTACCTCATGTCCAGACATACCAAAAATGTTGTCCATTCGAATGTGTTCATATCCCATGGAAAATCTCTCACTTAGGTAATCATTAATCACTTGCTATAGTTCTTTATTAGCCCCAGATATCAAAAAATTGTGTTTTGGGGGCTTTTGTTCCTTTAGTTATTGATTGTTTGTCATTTATATATGTAAGAGGATTTTATAATTTGTAGAGGATGTGTTCTCATGGTGGTACATCATTAGGATGCGATAAACATACAAATAACACAAACTGAAACATGCTCTTATCAGGTTTTGTTTTGTTCAGGGCATTGAAATTGAGACCCCTTAATGATCATTTTTGAATTAAAATTAGAACACCTTTGTATTGTGATTATGAATATGTATTACTGATTGGATGTCTTATATCTATAATTTAATGTCTTAGATGAATACTTCTAGGATATATTTTATACCTGATTCAAAAGATTGCATTTTCAAACGCATTAACTCTAACCATGCAAATAATTATGGTTATATCTTACTGATGTGCTAAAAAACTACTCAGCAAAATTTTGCTAGTTTATATAAATTGTGTTGGTTGTATATATGAATAAACATATGTAGTAATATGGTTTACTGTTTATTTTCCATTTCCATATGTGCGCAGTCATTTTTTCTAATGTTTTTAAACGCATGTGGCCTCAAGTTTATGAGTCGTTGATTATGAAAGAGCAAAGATGGAGTTACAAAATTTTGTTTCATACATTGTTTTTCAATAAGGATTTGAATTCTTATACAGTTCAAATGCTTCCATATTCACAATTGTACTAAAATTATAGGATCATTTATATACAGTACTAAGCATCTACTAAGTAAAGAAGTTACAAAATTGAGTTCCAATATTTATGATGTAATATAAAAACTACTCAAAGTGTTTAGGGTTAATACCCAAGAGCTATAGACTCTTATGTTATGACTCCTAGCAATAACAACAAATGTGAAAATGTTCACATTTGTTTCTTATATTCTTTCTTAGTCATGTTTATAGCGCTATAATGCTTATAGAATTAATTATGCATGCATTTGTTGTTCTACCATGAAATCATACACATCTAAAGGTTCTAATCTTTGGTAGCACTGTAGCAGCATCAACAAACAAAATCTATATATGATTATCCAACGCAAAAGTTCAAAGTATTCCTAGTTGTGTGAATGTATGTTATCATTATATAGTGGAATAATAGAAATTGGTAAAACTAATAAAAAGAAAACAGTAGGATTACACATACATACCAAGACTTAAGGAAAGAATATCCAGTGCAAAAGCTCAACGCATTCCTAGACCATTCATGTGAGGTCTCTTAATTTTCTGCATACATAAACAAAAAAAATATGTGTCAACATATGGTATCATTATCATTTAATTGAGTCGATTTACAACGAAGGTAAAGCTATTGATAAACACTACAATATGATTAGAGGTACATACCAAGAACTAAGAAATAAGAATACTTGTGTTGGAGCTTACAATGTCCTTCCTGTTTCTATGATGTGTATGAGTTTCTGAGTTTCTACCTGATACAATAAAATTGGTGTCAACATGTGTCTTCTTTAAAGTGGTGGAATTGCACATGAAGTGTAAAGCTAATAAAACCAAAAAATTAAATGTATTAGATACATACCAAATTTTCTTCTCGTATGTTGATGGAGTAATAATTGCCTATTCCTTTAATCTTCTCGTATGTTGTGGAATTCCTTTTGTCTGGGTTAATGGTGACATACTACAATATATAGAAATAAACTAAACAATCCCTGGAAGCAATGGAAATTATCCTCCAAATGATTTTATCATTATCTGATATTCTGATGAGCACTCTTGGTTTGTGATTTGTTAAAGTGATAATATTGTTTATCATTTGTTTGTTTGTTTTATATGATAATCTTATTTGCTTTTTAGTGATAATCTTAAAATTTAGCTTTAAATTAATATATGATCGACATTTGTATTTGGTTTTTGCATATCTGATAAGCTTTCATATTTAAATCCCTAGATAACTTTTTTTGGTGTTGTAGATGGGGAATAGATTCAAGACACAAGCTACAAAAAAAAAACCCCCGGTTGCTGGAAAACGAGTTCTATGACGCTCCTGTATTATGTGTGTCACCGTTATAAGACGCGGTTATGTTATAAAAAATGAGTTGTATTGGTTTTTGCTAAAAGCCCCGGTTGTATTAACAAAAACCGAGTTGTTTAGTTACACATTGGAGCTGGTTCCTTAATGTGAACCAGGTCTTATAAGTTTTCAATTCATTAAGCCCGGTTTTTGAATATTAGAAACCGGTTTTTTCAATAAACGGGTCTTATAAGGTCTTTCATATGCGCCTTTTTGTAGTAGTGAAATTAGTTAGACTAGTTGTATTTATTTTTAAATGTAACACGATGAAGAAATGACCTCCTTGAAGATGACTTAACCATTTAAGACCATAATCCAAACGATAAGCTTCTACTTTTGGTTTTGGGCTTAATTATAGTCTTAACGGTTTTAAGTGTTGCAACTTTCACAACAAGAAGATTTGAAATCCTCTTGCAAACAAGAGTTGACTTGGCAAGTGGGAGCTTGAAGACTTTTTGATGTGTCCCGTAAGTCATTTAGGAAAGACTTAATCATTCTTCTGATGACTCACAAAAATTATTACTAGACATGGATTGGTTTATACACATTATAATGCATGTTTGTGATGCTTATTTTATGTTAAATGCATGTTATATTTTATGTATGAAAATGTTTTTTACATGTCAAATAACATTTTTCATAAGATAATATCACTTGGAGTTTAAGTAAAAAAAATATTTAAAAGATAACATAAGATGTTTATAAATGGATATTTATAAAAACGTTTTACCGGTTACCGGTTAAAACTCAATTTTTTGTTGAAAAATAGTTTTATTGTAAAACTGATAAATACACAACTTTAAATATTTAAAATGGTTTAAAAGATGTTTAAACTTTGTATAAACTCCATGTCTTTATAATAAATAAGGAGTTTTTATTAAAATGCTAAAATCGGTTTATAGCGTTATAACGAAAAAAATAAAACTAGTGATTTTTTTTTTGCGTCGAAACTTAATATATGATATTGGTTTTTTAAACATAACGCGACATGTTGATATTATGTTTATGCATGCTAAATGAGATTTAAAACATAAGTATCATCACTGATATGAGCTTATTTAGTCATAGAAATCATTCATTATCTTATTAATTATTGTTGATTTTATATCATTTTATGGACAAAAGGTACTTAATTAGCTTAATATTTCAATTTCAGCAATAAAAGACATGTTCGGGTGAAAAAGGAAGATGATTGAGTGATTGGAAGCTTGGAGATTGAAGACTGAAGAAAGAAGGATGTTGTTGGACAGCTTGACCCCTCGTCAGTGTTTTGTTCATATCTTATGAACCGTAACACCGATTGACGATATTCAAAATGTTCTGAAAACTAGACACAATTTCGGACGACTTTCGTGTTTTGAGAAAATGTTGACTCCAAGAGAACTCGACGAGTTGACCCAAAACTCGACGAGTTGGTCAGAATGTTCCCGATTCGAAGATGCCTTGCCGTACACGCTGTATACGCGGATTATCGAAAAAACTCGACGACTTTGTGGTGAAAACTCGTCGAGTTGGCCCTGTTTTCAGAATTTATATATATAGAAACACTTCTCATTCGAACCCTAACACTTTCTGGAGGGTAGCTGCGATTATTGAAGACCAGAAGGGTTCTTGAAGCTTCAGTTTTCGAGATTGCAACATAAGAGACAATTTAGAAGAGAATCAAAGGCAAATAATCATTCTTCTTTTCTTAATATTTGTTTTGAACCATGTTTGAATCATTAGATTTTGATTTTAGGTTATTACTTGCTGTAGATATGAGCTAAAAGCTTTTTATTTCTGTTTGGATGAGATAATCTTATGAACATGGTTTGATTGAGTGGTTGGATTAATATTAATTTGGTTATTTATCTTGTTAAGCTTGTTAAAGATCCTCATGTATTGATGATAAATATTTTCTGTTAATAAGTGAGTTATTAAGTTGTATGAACATCTTCTTGATTACTTGATTCATATAATTTTGAGAATACAAGATTGTATGCCTAGGAATAGTGAACATGAAACTAGGGTTAACTAGAAAATATGTAAATCAATGTGTGAGCATGTGTGATGAACAACCACATATGAGTTGATTGAATTGAACAAAAATTTGATTAGCTATTATTACAAGTCTTACTTGATACGAACTGAACACTAGGAAACTTGTTAGTTTAATCAACTGGCCACTGTTTGAATTAACTTGTCTACTAAAGGATTGGTAATAGTGAACATGAACCCAATCATATTAGGAATCGGTAACCATTGACATATTGATCCATTGCACTTGCCACGAAATCAACCATAGGAATAAGTGAATCAAATCTGAACAGAAGTCTCTTTTATCATTGAATCTAGTTGTCCTTTCTTGTTCTTCTTAATTGTTAACTGTATTTTGTTTGAGTGTTAATTGATTGTTTAAGTTTCTAGTCTTGCAAACTAGAGAAACCCCCTTTTATATTGTTTTATTTAGATAATATTAGCATTTATTTTAATTTTTTACCGTTCTCTGTGTTCGATACCCTACTTACCTGAACTAAACTACTAATCGATAGGTACACTGCCTTTTGTGTGTTTGTCTTTGTGTTTAAGTTAGTTGGATTAAAACTAGTACGTTTCACACACATCAAGTTTTTGGCGCCGTTGCCGGGGAACGGTTCTAAAATTTATTTTAATTGCTAGTATTATCGATCCTTTGTGTGAGATTTATCTCATATAAAGTTACGAGTTTTTTTTTGTTTTAATATTTATTATGTATTTTCCAAATCTCGATGCTTTTGATGCTTTTCTTGAGGAAGTAGTACAGGAAATTGAGCAAGAAGATGAGGAATATGACTCAGATAATGATTTGAAGGAATTTGGAAGATGGTTAGATAACATCTTGCCTAATAAACAAGAGCAATTTGAGTTACAAGAGCTAGAGTTAAAAGA